CATATTAAATCAGATAAGATTGACATCCTTTTTGTCGGTGACCGCAAGATACGTTTGGAAAAACAGGCAAAAAGGATGAAAGATTTATCAAATACTAAATTTATGATTGCTAATATTGGTTCTACAGTGCATATCAAAATTTCCGATGTCGATCTTCGTTCAATTATTGCTGTTGTTTTAAAATGAACTGACAATGGATTTATTCAACTAGAATCCAATGATGGTAAGATAAATTCAAATAATACAAGTTATTTTTTATTTTTTTATTTATTTGATACCTATTACCTACCTATACATTATAATTACAGGAGTGATAAACAACTATATACTCTCGATCCCAGTTCACAGAATGTTCAAAAAATTTGTTAGCTGTAGAAACTGTTCCAAATGAAAGTATTATATTAAGATCTACGGAAACTGCGCAGTCACTGGGAACTGGTCAGGGTTTTTTTTAAGTGCACTTGTACCAAAAAATGTGACACAAAGCGATGTGTTTGTAGAAAAAAAGAGGTATTGTGCAACTCTAAATGCCAAAAATAGCCTTACATGTAAAAATAAATAAATAAATAATATAACTATAATTAATTCAGTAAAATAAAATATTTTAATATATATTTCAAATTTTAGTGTATTTATACTATAACGGATATCAAACTGAAATTGTATAGAATAACTAGATATTCTATGAAAATCTAGTTTAAGTACAATTTTCATGTATTATTTCATACTTTAACTAACATTCATAGGTAATTCATGAACTGTCTAGTTATTTCATAAAATAACGGAATTCAACACTTTAGCTGTAACATATATACCATAAAACAAATCTACAAATGAATGATGCGTTGAATTCAACTATTAAACCATTGTGCATGTTATAAATTAGTGAATCAAATTTATTTATAAAAAATACAAATACAGTCTAAAAGATATGTATAATCTTTTAATTAAAAACATAGATATACAAATCTTAAACTGTCATAGAATCATTTATGTGTATATACAATCTAAACTTTAACGAAATTATAGATAATATATAAAATTAAAATAACAACCTGAAAATGTAGAATAAAAGTAAATTATGCAAATCTAATATACGAGTAATACTTACTGTGTACCAATATTAAGTTCAAATTCCTAAAAGTTGCATCAAATGCTAAATGTTCATAAAACCCAAAAAAAGATTTATTTGCTTTCTCTGTATCTATGAAACTAATATAGTATTATTAATATATCATTAATAAAATAATTATAAACTTACTAAGAAATATTAGTTTCAAATTTGTCATAACACTGTTGGTTAAATATTTAAATGATGCCTAATCAGTGATAAGTTCATCTTGTCCTGGCATTTTAACATATTACAGCAAAATTCTAAATTTCCAATTAAGATAAAATAAGATAACTGATCAGTAACATTTAAAAGTAATAAGATAAATTCAATAAAAATATTGTTCACTAACGATAAATTATTTGTCCATCGTTCAATCTAGGTCATCAATATTGTTACGAGTTCAAATCATAAAACATGATATATAAATGAAAATATATTGACTAATATTTAGTCACAGAGTATTGTACTGGAATAAATGCACTTTAAGACGTAAAAAAAAAAAAAACAAGTATTATTGTTAAAATACAAATTTACTCAATATAAATTAATTGTTTCAATTTTATATAAATTGTTGACAGGTCCATCTCTTTTCTTATTGTTAACATTTTTATTTTTTATAACCCGCATTGTATTGTTAATATTATTTACTGAGTCCAAATAGTCACATTTGCTATTTATATCATTTTGAACTTTAATAATAAGTTCAAGTACATTAGGATCATTTGACAATAATAATTGTTGATATGAGCAGTCAATCATCAGTGTCATCCAATCAACCAATCTTTCTTCAATCAATTTCTCTTTCATAAGTGAATACAAAGTATTCAAAATGATCAGCATATTCTCAAACGGCAATTGGTGTCGTAAACAAGATGGCTTATTTAAAGGTGGATAAGTAAATAACTTTGACAAAAGATTTGAATGTTTTGCTGTGTTTGAACTACAATATGATAATATTTCAACTAAAGAAGTATCACTTATGTCGTTGTTTTCCATCAGTAACCGAATCAATGATTTATCCTTTTTATTTTTAATATGGTCAGTAATAATCATTTCATTTAATCTGGAATAAGCAAATAAATATGTTAAATATTATAAAAAAAAGTAAATAATAATAATAATTTTTACTTTGATTGAGATAAAGCTGAAGCTGAAATAGTATCTATACATTTTTGTTTTGCATAAGAATCCCATTCAATTTCTTCATATTTATCATTTATTTTTATTAAATTATTATCCATTAACAAGGATAAGTTATTCCGTTCACACGTAAAAGGAATCACTGCTAAGTTTTGGCCTGTTACTAAGAGTAAATGATTTCCAAAACACCATAAATTTGGAGGGTTGGTATAGATTTTAAAATGTTGTACAGCAACTACCATATTGTAATGGAAATTGTATACTACTAAAGCAGCTCCTAAAAAATACAAAAATATTATAAATCCATCAGAAATGATGCATTAGTATATAAAATCATAAGCTTTAATTTTAATTAACTAATATTAATTATACATTTGTTTTTTAAATAAGGTTATTAAAAATATGAAATCAGTAAAAAAACAATAACAATATTTTTACTAACCTTCGCCTTTTGGTTCTGCTCCATAAAGACCAATACAATCTGAACTTAATTGAATTAAAGATACTTGTTTTTTTAAATTAACTAAAGTAATTTCTGTCAACTGTTTACCAGGAAAATCATTGCTATTGGATTCAGTATACAACTCATTTGAATATAAGTAACCATTAGACCCTATGGAAATAAAATATAATATTTTATAATTGGCAAACATATAGACACAAAGTGATTTTTAAATTAAAATATTTGTAATAAAAAATTAATATCTATAAAAATTATAAATTATAGAATATATTATAAATATATTAATAAATTAATATATTTTCTAAATAAATACATCAAACGATACTTACAAAATGTTACAATATTCAGTGAATCAGAATTTTCTCTAATACAATAACCCAGTAATTTATCAGTTTTGTTTTTGAAAGATATTTGTAAATTAATTGGCAAAAAAGTATCTTCTAATGGCACAGACCGTAATGTTTTTATATTCTGAAATTACAATATTCATATAATCATAATAATTATTTGTATAATATAGTTATAAATTAAAATTACCTTGTCGTCAACAGATACAATAATACAAATAGCTTTTGTCCTAAACATACATAATTTAGCTAACTCAATTGTTTCTCCATTATTAATAACAGCGTCTCTGATTTTTTTTCTGTTACCAATTGCTTCTTTTAAACACTCACAATATCCATTTTCAAAAACTGCAACTGCTCCACTATAATCTAATCTGGTTAAAAGTTTTATAATTTTTGAGGTAAACTATAAATAAAAACAAATAAAGAATAAATATTAATTAAATTGAATTATCTTGAATAAGTAAGATTTTTTTTTTTTTATTTAAATCAAATAGTATGTAACTTTTGGCCAATTTACTAATTATACTGTATACTATTATAAAATATTTATAAAAAGAGAAAAATTTAATAAATTTATTAGTGATGAGTCAAACCATGATTTTTGAAACCAAACCAAACTTTAAAATTTTTTTCAAACCAAATCTAATAAATTTTTAAATCAAACTCAGCACTTTTTATCATTATTAATCATAATTAAAACTAATTTAGATATTTTGAAAATACCATCATGCGTAGAAAATAATAATATATAATGGAGAAATAAAAATTACAACTATTATTTTTCGTTTAAATATCTTATTTTGTCAAAATTAAAATTTCAAATATCTATAAAAAAAAAAAAATATGCAATTATATTTTTAACTGCTATAAATACAACTTATGAAAAATATTGTATTACATTCTCAAACTTTTTGCTTTGGAAAATTTATTTACTACTATGAATTGAAAAAAAAAATAACAGTTATAAATATAAATATCTCAAAAAGAATTACAAAGTTTAGAAAATTATATATTGTCTTGAAAGTACTTGCATGAATATTTCGTGAAAATTTCAAATATATGATAGTTATTTATTATTGAATAAACGTCTAAGAACTACTAATTTGTCAAAAACCATTCCGTAAATATTCTCATTTATCTGTAGTATTGTTTTTTCCTAATTATATTAAAATGTAATAAAAATTTTTAGTTTTTAACTGTTCAATTATAATTTTAACTAAATTAATTAATAATTTAACCTATCCTTTAAAAACTGTAACAGATACTCATTTAGTATTAAAAAATTAATAGTTATTTATGTAATTAGATTGATATTTAGATGGTATAATATTATTGAAAATTCTTTATTTTTTTTTTAATTGGCATAATATAGCATATATTGATTTAAAAATTATAATCAGTTAATAAGAAAGTAAAAAACTAAATGTATTCTATATTTCTAATTTACACAGTCTTTTTGGAATTATTATTATTATTATATTATAAAAACAAAGCATATGGCAAATTTGCATAATATAAAATACTTTGAAAAAACTCACATTAAATTTTTTCATATCTTTCATCGTTGATGAAGTCTGTGACCATTTACCAATTCTGGTGTAGTTAAAAACGCCATAATAACAATTAGTTAATGAATCAAATATCACTCCGGAAGACAATTTATCAGAACTACTCCAACAATGCACTTGATTTTGACTTGGCATCTAAACATTAAACGTACAGACCATAATGAAACTAAGAAATGTAATACAAAGTGATTAGTATACACTCTACATACATGAAAACAAGTAACCATATTCTTCGATAAGGTTACAATAACATTATCGGGTTCTTCATCATTTGAAATCCCCAAGAAATTGGACTCAATAATGGAACCTAAACTGTACGATGTATCTAATTTTATCATGATGAATTTAATGTATAATCATTTGCAAGATTGTAGTTACGCGGTGGTAATTTACACGTCTGACCAAAAAGAAACTATAATAAACTATCAAGATTCAAGAGCATATTACGTTAAAACAGAACAGTGAACAGTGAAAAGAGAACGATTCTTTAGATTAAAGGTAGCAATTAAGCAGCTGCAGTAGTTGATGGAACAATTTCACAAGACACAAGTTACAAGTACAACAGAAAAGCACGTGTAAATTGTTATCATTATTCAGTTGCATTAGATGATAAGCAGAATGACCAAGTAAATAAATAAGTAATTTACTTATTGTAAATCTTTGGGCACTGGTTTTTGAAAAACTACGGTACAAAAAAGACCATAAATATTAAATATTCGTGTAGTGTGTAGAAACACTACAAACTTTAAACTTCAGAAGTTCAAAAGTACGTACTACATACAAACGTCAGACATAGAAAAAAAATAACAGAATACAGAGCACTCCTATTGTGTTGATACTACTGGATGGAATAATATTTATGGCGAAACGCTAATATTAGTAAATTAGACAAAATTCATAAAAATCGCGAAAATAAATAAATTATTTTTTTAAACATTTTTGTTTTTATACCAAAGATTTAAAATATTAATACAAAATTCGTTATTAGTTGTTTAACTTACACGCAAAAAGAATTTTACTGAAAATTCAAATTCATTTTTTAGCAATAATTGCTAAATATAATATAATTATATATCACTAACATGGGATGGATTACCATTCTGAAAATTAGTTTTAAAGAAATGATCCTTTAATATAGCTACATCATAAATTCGAATAGACTTGGTCGTCGGATAGTGAACGTATAGCTGATAAGATGCACACCCAGAAAGTATAAATTTATTAATGCTCGTGGTATTACCTAAAAAATAATAGGTTTTTGAAATTTTTTTTTATAATTCTTGTCAAATAATACTATAAGTTGTAAACTTAGATTGTACCTACATAATATGTTGTTTTTTCTTTCCCAAAAGTGTTGTTTGACAGAAATGTGTTTTTATTATGCCCTCTAATAAGAGCGTCAGTCCCAAAGTTACCAGAAATAGCTGCTTACTCCATACGCACTCTAATAAGCAGTTCATTTATACACAAACAGAAATTAAAACTGTAAATTCCAGTGTGAGGGTAATAAAATGTTTATGATTTGAATTGAGAAATAAATCAAAATTGATGGTTTACAACTCAAAATGTGTCAATTTTTGAGTTTCACTCATAGCTCCATCAATTTACCTATACATAAATAAAAATGAAAAAAAAAAAAACAAAAATAGACCATTGATAGAATAAAACACCAATTTACATATAACGCATAAAACAAATAGGTAGATATTTAATAGCATATTCCTTGCCTTTATTTAATAATTACTAAGTAAATATCATCAAGATTGGTTCAGCAATTGAGAATACAACATAAGAAACAGACAAATATTTATTTTTATATAATATAAGATATTCTATACATGACTATTTATTTTTTATACCATTTACCTACCTAATTTATCTATATAAATAAAAATAATTTTTAATTTATCTCAAATCATAAAATATAAATATATTTTAAAATTAGAGAAACATATTTTGTCATGTTATACATGCATACTATATTGCTTTGGATAATACAAAAACATAAATGTATCAATTAATATAAAAAATACTATTCTTTAGTATTTGAAGTATTTTTCAGTGTTACAGGAGTTATAATAAACTGTCTCGTAGTTGAAGGTGTATCATTATCTGTAAAAGCTTTAGTTGAATAATTTTCCATTGAAGATTTAAATACAGCTTTAAACGATCCTGGTGAATTTTCACTATCAAATAGATCTACAAAAAAAGAAAACTTAATCATTTAAATTTATAAATATTATAATCTATAACACTTATATTTTATTATAAAAATTATTTGTAATTAAAAAATCATTTTTTTTTCAATAGATGAAACTAATTTGAAGGTAAGTAAAACAAAATATATACATAAGCTTGCCATTCATTCCACTACCTTTTCTAGTTATTCAGTTTGTCCCAATTTATAAAGAAACTGAGAGAAAAAATATTTAATAATAATACAAATAAACAATATAGAATAGTATTTTACACTATATCTTTATATAATTATTAATTGTACTAAAATAATTAATAAATAATATATATTTACAATAATTACAAATATTTAAACAAAACAAGGATATACTTATTTCTATAAAAGCATTACATAAAAAAAAAAACAGGTTATTCATTATTAAATCTCAGATTGAGAATTTTAAAATTTGGCAACTCTAAATATATTTATATATGTATTTAGTAATAACATCAAATTGCAGAGAAGTATCTGATTTGTACTATACACATTCATTTAAATTCACAAGTTTAATTTTTTTTTTTCGTAAAATATTAATTTAAATATAAAATAATAAATAAGTACAAATTCTCTTTAAATCATAACTATTTTAAATTGTATATTTAATACATTTACCTGTATTTTTTACATTATTTTTGGCTGTTATAGTATCAGATTGAATATTTAAAAATGATTTCAGATCATGTTGCTGTCTTTTATACCCCGGTGACCAAGTAACAAAAGATAGCTGTTAGATTAAAACAATGTTATTTAGATAAAAAAATTTTTTTAATTTTTTATGAGAACTTACATCAAAAGGATTATACCTAGAAGTGACACTGCAAGGTGCCCTAGTTTTTAAAGTATTCGGAGATAATCCAAAAATTGAATATTCTTCTTTTAACCTTTAACCAGTTTATAAAATGTAAAAAAAAAAACTTTAATAATATATCAATAATTATACAAAATAATAAACATAATCTACCTTAATGTAAGATAATTAGCTTCTTCTTGAGAGAATTCTAAGTTTATTTCTTTCAATACATTTAAATATTCATTGATTAATGTTGTAGAGTGATTACTTTGTTTTGGCGCAACCGCTTTTATCTATAATTAAATAGTAGTTTGTTAGATTATGTATCTAATGGAAGGTTGTATCAACAATTAATTATCATTAAATAAATTAATAGTATTATAAACATGATTTAGTGGCCCATGATTTGGTTCATTAAATTTTATTGACTCATTAAATTAATCAATTTTTCATGCAAGAAATCCAAAATTAGTTTTTAAACAAAGAAATATACTGAAATTTATTGGTATTCATTTAATAACTTAATTATTTAACACAGCCATGTGCAAAAACTAAGAAATTTTTTGAAAATCATTAAATTAATTATTTAAATAAATATACATTACTTTTAATATGACAATGCCACATGCAAATATACATATTATATTGATGAATGTTACACACATACTCATTGCGCCTTTAATAGCAAAATCAACAGATCTTGTAGATGAATAATGTAAATTTATAGTATTATAAGAATCTTGATTAATACTCCTTACTGAAAATGCCCACAACAGTCCCTTAAAAATGAATGTCACTATTATAGCTTAATATATATTGTCATATTGACTATTGACAAAAATAGTAAAATTGTAATATTTAAATAGTTATATAATTTATCAAAATCTTGTTTTGACATATTATTTGATTTTTAATTATAAATACACCAATGAACAAGTATTATAAATTCTTTCTCAGTGTTCCAAAACAATATAAGAATAATATATTTATTCTGTGGTTTTAAACTGTTTAGTGTATACATATTACATATTATCATTGATTATTTTAAAAACTTACCTATTTATAACTAATAATTATTGCTATCATTAATTCATTTGATAATAAATATAATCATGACATTTGACAAAAGTAGAATACCTAATAGTACTTTAAAATTGTTTTTGAAAAAACTAAGAAATACTGCTTTACATTTTTAAAATTTTTAAAATATATAGGTACCTACTATATTATCTTAAAAAAAAACAAAATTGAGTATTTATAACATACTAATAATTATACGTAATATAAGTATGTGATAAATATTTGATAAAAATAAAGTTATTAACTAGTGAGTAAGCTTTCTTATAAACAGATATAATTTTAGAAGCAACTTTACTCAAAGATGACTCTATGAAAATTTGTAGTACCTACTTAGGTTATTAGCATACATACGTATAATTAAAAAAAAATAATGTATAATTTTATGAAATTGACTTCAGATTAAAATTTTAAAGCTTTTGATTCATATATCTATTTATATATTTAATTATAAAAATATAGCATACAACGTACAGCATTGACAGAAGGTGGTAATAGTGATGTAGATATTGCTACTCCGACTAAAGAAAATGTATTGTTTCCTAATAAAGCAATAGGCACAGCAACTCCAACAAGAAACGCAAGTACAATACTAATCCATAAGCTGCTTATATCTGTCCTGCAAGATATGTAAAAGAAAAGATTATTAATATTAATAATATTTAATAAAATATGACTAATATTTCAGACTAGATGAAATAATTTAAATATAATATAATATAATTACATGAAAGCCATTTCATTAGTTATCCACTGACTAGAATCTCTTTTATCAAAATAAGTAGCTGTTAAACCATATGAAAAACCAATTATCACACAAATAATTAAACCAATAATTTCGTTTACAATCCCCATGTTTCTAAGTTTCTTATTTTTGATCATAGTTCCAAATGTAGCAGCATTAATTGGCCCCTAAACACAAAATAAATAAGAATAAAATTATTTATACTCATTACTTATTTTTAGGTTGTCTAATGTTTGATTTGTTTTATATTATATTATTTTTATAATCACCAACCATAAGTGGAGAAAGAAGCATACTAGAGACAAATATAATAGTTTCTCCTTGCATCAAACCAAGAGCTGCAACTGTTCTATAAATTATGAATAAAAATTACTAACAATATTTTCAAAAAAAAAAAAAAAATGACTTTTAGAATAAAGTTATCAGAAAATACATTTTTATTATGAATAAAAAGTAGGTATTTATAAAAAAAAAAAATTAAGATATAATGATAGAACATACCTACATTGTATTTATAAACATATTTATACTTACACCGAAATTATTAAAAGAATTAAAAAATCAAAGGTTAGCATTGCACCAGCTTCTATACCTTGAACAACTTGTGCCACGGTTAATCGAGATCTAACTGACTGAAGAAATTTTTTCCAAGATGATTCATACAAATTAGGTGGACTACAAAACAATAAAAATTGAGAATAATAACATATTGCATTTGTATTCAAACTGGATTAAAAAATATTTTTTTAAACATATCTACCTATATTAAAATAATACTAACTTTTTATCCTGAGTGGTTTCCAAAACTGATTGAGTAGACTTCGCAGTATCTTGATAATATAACGAACAAGGTAAGACTCTAGTAAATCAAAATGTGTATTAAATTAGTAATTAATATAAGACTATACAGTGTAACTACAGAAGACTCTTAGTAAATCAGTAGGAACATCCTGAAATTTGGCTTTATTTTATTTTTGTTTAAAACAACCACAAGTAAAAGTTTTGAAAGCATCATTTCAAACAAAAGAAAAATTATTAATTTTTTTAGGTCCATCCCATCAAAAGATTATTTCAACACAATAATCAATTAATATTTATATATTTTGACAAAATTAATTTAGGTTTTTCAATTAGTAAAATTATATTTCTATATGAACTTCTATAATCCGTTTTCGTCAATCTACTGATCTTATATTTGCCGAATTACCAAAGTCTACTGCATATTTACAGGCAAGTAACACACAGCTAATGTGTATTTTCTTACACTATTCTGCATCTGTATTAAGTTATGCATTAAGTGCATGATAATAAATGTATATATAACAAATAAAAATATAATAAAATATATAGTTACACTACTGTCGAATTTAATTTTACTCCAATGCCATTTTCCATCAATAAATTCAAAATATGTTCACAATGTTCATTAGAAGCAATTGAAAAGGTTACCTGAAAATATTGAAAGCAAATTTTAAGTAAGTAATTTTAGAACTTATAGTCTGCGGGTAAAACATAACAAAACAGCTAACTTCAATACTAAAAAAAGTTTTTACTTTTCATAAAATTGTATATATTTAGTAGAGCAAAAAATAGGTAGGACACAAATCACCTACCCAACTAATACCTAAAGATAGGCACCTATCAAGTTTTACACAAATGTTAATATTTATATAATTACCGAATAGCATCTATTATCTCTGCTTTGATTCCATACTGAATTGAAAATCTGCAAGCTACATAAAATTGCTTCCAATGTCTTATAGACATTCATAAATATATGAAATTTTAGTTAGAAACATGATATAGGTATTTAATTATAAATATGGGTAATGGGTGTACTATACCTATTATCTATATTAATAATATAAAGATTTATTTAAACAAAATGTCATAAAATGTAATATTTTCTTATTTAATAAGTATATATACTTTAGGTGTATGCATGTAAAATAGTATTAGGTAGGTAAGTACTTACTTTTTCCATAGTTATCGATAAATGATGTTTGGGACGGTTGAGTGATTGTTTATTGAATGTATTATCATTGGGTTGTTTGATTTTAATTGGACAATCACAAGCAATTTGTTGAGAAAGATGTAATTCATGTTGTTTAGTAGGAATTAAAATATTAAACAAAGCTCCAGTCATTTTTAATAAGTATATTCAATTCAATCACTTGTTCAATAGATCAATATAATTTAGATAGGTAGGTACTAATTTACTACCTATATTAAAATAATTTGAATAGCATCAAAATTATACCTAGATACCTATAGAGTATAGACTATACCTAGTAAAGATACCAATAAAATGCTTGATAAAATTTATATTTATAAATTGTTTCAATAATAGTTAATAATTTTAAGTTTCCCCAGCAAAACAATACGTATATAAAAAGATAAACAAGTAGGGTCACTCTGCTATGTAATAGGCGTCGAGTGGGTCACTATTATGGGTGTGTTAAAAATTAAATTTGAATTAAATGATATATCATTGTATTCGAAAAAAGATTCTGGGTGTAGATAGTTAGTCACAAATCACAAACTATATCACTAAGTATGTATATGTGATATGTTTTTTTGAGATAGCTACTAAAGTAATTTATTTTATTTTTAGTATTGTGGTACATTAATTACCTATAAAATTATTAATTGGTTGATATATTTTTTCCCGAAAATATTGCATTTATTTTGTTAATAGTATTTAATTATTATAATAATATATATTTATACCATAGTCTATCAATGTAACACAAAATTTAATAACATCATTCCGTAAATAACGTTAAACAGTAAAAATAGATTCATAAAAAAATGTCATTGCATTTACTAAATTCAAAATAATATAATAATAACTTAATCTTCGTTAAAGTTTTAAGCCCACACTAATGTTTTAAGTTGGAAAATAATAATTAAGTTGCTATTTATCGTTTAAATAAGTAATTTTGTTAAAATTTAAATGACAAAAAATAACTGTGTTTTTATATTTTTTTTGTATTTAATGATTCAGTATAAATTACTACTTGTATATTATGATGATTGATGAATCTTGCATTATTGCATTACATTTTCAAAACTTGTATATTAAACGAAAAGTTTTTATGAATTTCTAACTATATAATAGTTTGTAATTATTTTTTATTTTTACAAATTTCGTCACTTTTTTCAAAATGAAAATTAATAATGTAAGAACTCAGTATTTATAAAAACAAACTAAATATAATTAAGCGCAAATGTTCCGAAAAAGAAACTATTATAGAGCTAAAAAGCATTGTTAGATATGGAACACGCAAATACACGTAGGTATGCATCAGAGAAATTCCGTCGCCATGGGACCAAATCAAAGATTTGAAAGATTTTATACAAGGTTCTTTATGAGTTTACAAATATTAAGTTCTTACTTTACATTTAATTAATACAGATTAATGGCTAAATAGAGCAACAGACAATACATTTTCATCTGAAAATTCTTCGGAAAACGCGAGTCCTAACCTAACCTAGTAAAAAACTAAAAATCAGTAGCAATTTTCCTAGATCTGACCAAAACCTTTAATAAAGTTAACCATAGAGACCTTAATACAATATTACCTATTCCAGTCTATAATTATCTTACTAACAGTTGTTCAAATATTATTAAGCTAATCAGAGCAAATCTATTAAAATGAATAGTGCCTACCGGCATAGGCGTAAATTTGGCTTGTTAAATGGGCGCGGGGGAGGGGGCTAAAATTATAAACATAAAACAGACCTGCAGAGAGCTTCACTCTCCGCATGCCTATATATTATTTTTTAAATTTGATTGCAACATTTATTTTAAAAGATGTTTAGATGTATATAAATACTTCAAAATTATTTATTTAACAAAAGCATATACCTATCTTAGTATATTTATTAAAAACATTTTTTTCTTATATTAATTTAACATTATTTATTTATGTTTATTTACAAAATTCTTAAGATTAGTCGATTTGTTTATATTTTTGGTATCGCTTTTTTCTATATACAAGATAGAATCTATCTTATGGTATAGACATATATTTGTAGCTACGTTTTTATCTGATGCATAGCAGAAAAGCTTCTCAGTTTTCTCATACATGGAAGAACTATATAGTTGGTAATATTAAAGCTATTTTATACAAATGAAACAAATTTGGGTAAATATTTAATGTAAAATAAATAGGGCTGTAAATTTGTAGGAAAAAGCATTTTTTTTTTTTTTTTTTGGCGATTGTGAAATGTAGCTTCGTAAGTACACAATTTGAATTATGTAGCAATAAATCCATTTATGAAACTTTTATTTTGCATTTTTTAACATTTTTAATTTTTAAGGTTATTTTTTTTATTGTTAGGTCATATTTTCCTTTTTTAGTTCATTTTCTGGTATTTTTAATTAAATTCTGTCAATTAACATCTTTAAAAATCTAATTATTAACAAAACAAATACATAAAAAAAAAATTAAAAATGTTTTAGGTGAATAGCATTATAAAAAATTCAAATTAAATCAAAATTATTATTATTTTATTAAATAAACACATTTTTATGCATGTAAAATGTGATGCACTAAATTTATAATATCCTATAATATAAATATAAAAACTAAATCAAAAACCATTTTTAAGTGTATTTTGTACTATAATTTTTGGCATTTTATATTGCATATTTTACATATTTTATTTCATTTTTCTGACATTTTCTGGCATTTTTAATGTATTTTTTAAGGTTTTTTAGTGCATTAAATTCACAGCTCTAAAAAGAAGCTTTGAATTATCTGCTGCTAATTCTTTTAAAGTACCATATATGTTTAGATTATATAATTTTTAGCGACGGCCATTTCAGCTTTTGATGAATTAACAGAAATACTTAACAAATCCAAAAGAAATATTAAATATAAAATTAAATTTTAACCAATATATAAAGTATATGGTTCTCATAAAATATTATCGCTATATTTACTTTATAATGATCAATGAAGTAAGTACTTTGTTCAAAATGTAGATTGAAAAAGTTATTGTTATATATATTAACATAGCTCAAGCTTAATCATTCTAAATTTATTATAAATTTACAATACAAAATTTATGCATCATTAACTTTAAACGCGTTCACATAATATATACATATCGGATATCATGTTTAAGAACTACGTAATACATTTTACAATTTTTTTTGATAAAAAACCTGAAATTTGTTAAAAAAAAATTAAAAAATGTAGAAAGCTATACACATTTTTGGGGGGCTAAGTCCCTCTAAGCCCCTCCCCAATTTACGTCTAAGGTTACAGAAAATTAATTGTCTATGAACTTTGGAACAGGTACATCTGAAGGCAGTGTCCTATAAGTTAATTTTTATTTATTTTATTTTTATACATCAATAATATAATATTAGTAACACTGACATTGATGCTCAAATTAGTCAAATTATAACCTATGCCAACGATATCCGTTTATTTTTTCTAGATGATAAGATATAAATTGGGGGCTGGGTCAAGGAAAGTCATTGAAAGTTTAAACTGTAAGTAAAACGATTAATTTAATAAAAACTATGTTGATGAATTTCATTTAAAAAAAAAAACGTATATCAATACTGCAGTGATGATCTAATATTCTAATATTATATTCTTGCGACTATAACTTTGCCATCTTGCTTTGCAATAGTATTCTATATCATAGTCCATAGACATAGACTACAATAATAATCTCGAATGTCAGATATTTAAGATTTGTTTTCGATAAAAATATGCGTTGGTATTTTATTTGTCAATAATTTAATTATGTTACTACTGAGCTTGAGTTTTAATTTCTATAAATTACGTAATATTGTTATACCGATCCAAACGTTACATATGCCGTCAAGTATTCTTTGCTCTATACAAAGCCTATTTATATATATTTATATCAATATATCATTAAAAAATAATTTAATTATGCATATTTATAAGACAACATTTAACTTAAAAATCAAATTATATACGTCATCATAATTACAAATGTTTATTAGATAACATTTAAACTTAAAATAGAATTCAAATTATATACGCTATAATAGATTATTATAATTTACATTTAAATTAATTTAGTAAATAAATGTAAATAACCTTAAGAATTAACTCAATAAATTAAATAGTTACATCACATATGTCTATAGTGCACCGAAAATAAATATAACAGCTTTCAATAGTCTCAAAGTAGATTTCTATGAAATTCCTACTACAATCAACATTCAGCCTATATATTCAAAGAATCCAATTATTGTTACAAGAAAAAGAAACTTACTCAATTCTATTATATAAATCATGCTCTATTATAATAAATTATTTAATATCACGATGCTCAATACTGGAAAATGCACAAATGGTAAAAAATGGATTTTTACGGAAATACCGGAAATTGGCAGAGCGCACGCTGTTCTGAAATCCACTAAAGGCTAACTTGTCATCTTCCCCTTAGAGGAGTCATAATAGAACTAAGAATCTTTGTAATATGGTTGATTAACCATATTTTTTTTTATTATTGTTAAATTGTTGTTTTTTTTAAATTAAAAAAAAAATTTAGAAATAGGTTCTATGTACATTTTGAATTAATTATTTCATTTAATTATATTTACTATTATATATAATATTTTATATACTTATCTATAGTTTGTTCAAACCCCCTTCATTGATTTTCATTTAATTATTCAGTTAACATATTTTGAATGACCTTTTTTTTTGGCTATACCGTCCCTGATATATACCTAAACTTAACTCCCCCCATTTAAAAATTCTAACTATGCCACTGGAAGGTATGTTATAGTTAACATACCTGAAATCAAGCCTGAAACAGCCAGCAGATTGATAAAAAAAAAAGTTTTAAAATTGAAAATTGAAAATTGTTAATATTATTCATTATTACAAACTATTATTTTATGTAGATGCTTAACACGAAAATTAAAAAGAAGTTACCTAGTCAATTGATTGTTTTTATTTTTATAAACAATCATTATTACAAATTACCTATTTACTATTATAAATAAATATTACTTAGTAAGTATTATTACTTATAAGTTATATTTACAAACATTTTAAAATTATTATTTACAATGAAAATAGCGCATTAAAATAAAACAATTTGTTTTGTATATCATGGGTAGAGTCCGAATTTATTTGTTTTTACATATCGTTTTTGAGTATATACAGTCTCATAAAAATAAAAAATGTTGATAATATGGTATACAGCAGACAGTAGGTAGTTTAGCCGGCACAGTCTCAATGGATAACAGTCCGTGCTCCATAGGTTTGTTCCACGTAAACAATTTCCTACTACAATCCGAGAACGGAAATACGTTTGTGCAATCAGAAAAAAATCATTAAAAAAAACCCTACATCATGTCATTTTGTCAAAAATTAGATATACGTAAAAATTCCTATTAAAAGAAATAGTACTGGGAACTTTTTATTCTGTCCTAAAGTACAAACTAGATTCAATTTGCTAGTTATCAGAAATCATCACGATTTTTGGAAATCAATATTTATCGATTACCTACCTATTTACCTATCGTCTACACATAAACAAAAAGAAACACACACACACACATCAATACGTCATTGTAAAATCAATTAATTCATAGCTCCATTCAGAACCTAAATGTATACTGTAGCATAGTATACCAACAATTATTTAGTGTGTGGCATTGTGGCGTGAGTGAGCAATGGCCAATATAAGTGGATGAATATTGAGGCCACTGGCCGGTCGGACTACTCAGATCTCGGACTGTTCAGTGTTCAGACATAGAGCACGTCAGCGCACTGCGCGAGTGTGGTATCGCCGTAGCGATGCGTGACGTGTGTGCGAGAGTGCGGACTTGCTGCCGTCTACATTATCAATTATCACTATAATATAGTCAGTAATATCGAAATATTTAGTCATACGTTTATTGTCTATCATCACAGAATAAAATCATCCAAGGTTAGGACGGTTAGGTTGTAAACATTGAATAATTCAAACAACTCATTCTGTATCATAGTTTGTGACTTACTCATTTAAAAAATTCACGAACATTTCTATAAATCTCGATAATCAATGTTTTATTATGTTTTGTATGAATAAAAAATAAAAATATGATATTATCACATGATATCATTAATATTTCCATACGCAATTATTGTCATGGTGGCAACAATCTTTTCGCCCGTTACAGAAATCGTTGATAAGAATATTATGGAAATCAGCTGGTAAACAAATAGCAGGTATATATATATATGTATGATAAAAAAAAAATTAAAAAAATAGGTACAACATATTTTCGAGATGCCTTCGGGACGTGAATGTTGATGACGATGATGTGAGGCGTGTGCGTGTGAATGCGTCGTTTGTGCGTCTGTTGTCGTGCTCCGCAGTCGGTCGATAGAATTATAGTATTAGTTAAAATACCGAGTTAATAACCGTAATTACACATTAGCGTTAATAATAATAATAATAATAATAACAATAACTATTAAACGATATACGTACGTAGTTGGTATGACGACGTTATTACAACACCGATCAATCCGATAACCGATTTCCAAAAGAGGTTCACCGTATCGATTTTTTTGATTTTTTCCGTTTGTCCGTCCGTCGCGTAGGCATCTTGATCACCGGATATCGCAGTGCACGGGAAACGGACCAGTTTTTGCGTGAGCGAGAGGAACGGACCCGCTGCCGCAGTGTCCAGTTTAATAAGTCGCTGACCGATCTTTTACCGCCTACACGCAACGAAAACAACAACGATCACGGCAGTCGTACGACGACGACACTGTCATTGCCGTCCGAATGGTGGCCAGCCACCGTCCAAATGCAGTTGACGTCCAACTTGGTGGCCGCCGCCAACTATGCGATCCCGTGACGGGCAACGTAACATTTTGATTCAGGTAAAAAAAAATTTTTGATCCGCCAACGCCGTCTTGTATGACATACACATAAATTGTTCATACGTTCACTGTTCATAACCATACGCGTCTTGTCCGATTCTATGTTGTGCTGTTATCCATCCACTGGGCTAATTTGCAAAGCGCAAGTGTGAGTAAATCCTTTCAACGCTACCTGTTGTACGTAAGACATCCTTAAGAACAATCTCAAATAATATTTATTACATACACTTATTCTATTACACGTTTCAAGTTTCAATTGTACACATATTGAAAATTAATTATTTTTATAGGTGTAGATTAATTTTTAATTAGGTTATAACATAATTATCAATATTCAAAATTTATATTAAACAACAAGTGTTTTTAATATGTTTTAGGGATTGATAATTGTCCTATTACTAAAATAGGTATACTATGGTTAGTTTTCAATATATTTAACTCTACCAAAGACTTGTTAGGTATATAATTTTGAGTAAATGTATAGGAATAATTATATTTTTTTTAAAGTAAGATGTTCTTATAATAATTTAATTGATGCGTAGGACTATAGGAGTAAGTAGCCAAGTAGATAAAATCAATTTATGTTTTAAAATTATTTTAAGTTGTGAAATTTCTCATAGAATGTATCTTCTTTTGTATTGATATTATAAGTGTTGTTCAAACGGCTTATAAATACCAATAGATTTTAGTAGACAAATTTCTTAAATTTTAATTTATATTTTTTATCAATTATCAGTACTTATTTTAAATATTTTCTTTTAGGTAAATGGAAAATTAAATTAATAATAAATTAATTATTAATATAAACTTAATTACTTGTTAAAAAATGTATTCATTGACTAATTGATTACTATTCATAATTAATTATCCCAGATTATAAAAAACTCAACTAAGTATATACCTATATATTATTTAAAAAAATATATTTATTTATTAGTCTTGTACCTATATGTGTGTTATTTTGATTTATTTAATACCTTCTTTAAATATATATATATATTGGATAAAAAAACATAGATAATAGTAATGATCTTTATTAAAAGAAAATAGTTGATAAAATATCAAGCTATCAAACTAAATACTAAACCTATTGACGAGTTGTATGAAGCTTCAATCTTAAAGTTGTAATTATTCTAAATTACTTCTTTCTAGATCATTTTATTCAGTTATCTAGGTATTGGCACACATATAATATTTTCTCATAGTCTGTGGTAGTAATAAGTTTGAAATAATCCTGGTTTGAGTATTATAATAGAAGGGCTGACGGAAATAACGTGTTATATAACAATTCATACATTTTAAAGTATCAAGTAAAAACAAATAACTTATAATTTCTCTTAAATATTATTTGAATAGCACATAGTACGTTCTTTTAATTTTAAACATAATCATATTTGTATATTATAATATAGCATAATATATATAGCTTCATAGCACGTTATTCCGCAAAAAAAAAAAAAATGAAATCATAAAAAGCGTTACATAGTACGTCATTTCCGCCGACCCTTTAATTATTAAAATTTGGTTACCTATTTTTATGTAATATTATTATAGGAATTAAAATATTATTAAATTTATTAAATCTCATATTATTTTAAAATGTATTGGTTCTAAATTCATTTTTTTTCAGGGTGTTATGCGTTTGAGCATAAAACAATGGGGGCCAACATGGGTAAGAGTTCAGCATCTTTGCTGGATGCACTCCCTACACCACAAAGTCATTTGCATGTAGTCATGTTGGGCCTAGACAGTGCTGGCAAGACTACAGCTCTCTACAGACTTAAATTCAATCAGTATCTAAATACAGTTCCTACAATTGGATTTAATTGTGAAAAAGTAAAAGGAACTGTAGGAAGGGCTCGAGGTCAAACATTTCTTGTGTGGGATGTTGGTGGACAAGAAAAACTTCGACCATTGTGGAAAAGTTATACCAGGTAAATATGTAAATATTAATTTTAATTTTATATCTTTGATTTGAAAGTATTCAATTCTAAAACTTGTGTGTTTTTATTAAACAATTTTTTTTTTTTTTAGATGTACTGATGGTATATTATTCGTTGTGGACAGTGTAGATGTAGAACGAATGGAAGAAGCAAAAATGGAACTAGCTCGCACAGCGAGAGCTCCAGAAAACACAGGTGTACCAATTTTAGTATTAGCAAATAAACAAGATTTGCCAGCAGCACGAGATTCAGCAGAATTAGAAAGACTATTAGGTCTTAATGAACTGAATCATTTGTGGCATATTCAAGCAGCTTGTGCTATTACTGGAGATGGTCTTCAGGAAGGTTTGGATGCGCTTTATGATATGATATTAAAACGCAGAAAGTTAGCTAAACAAGTAAAAAAGAAAACTCGATAAATTAGTTAAATATTAGTATGACTAAAATTGTATATAAGAGTACTACAATGCTATTGGGATAATGAATACATAAATCCTGTTTGCACCATAGTACGAAATTTCCATGACATTTTTAAAAATAGACACCCTATAATAAATTTTTATTTTGATATTACCAATATTATGTTCTATTATTTATACCAAGTACATTTATTTAAATGACTTTAATGAGAATACTTGGTAGAAATTTTATTTAAAATTATTGCAACTTGGCACTTACTAATAAAAATTATCTATTATTGTGTTTACAGAATTTTAAAATCATGTATTACTTTTTAACAGTAATCCCACCGATTGTAAATATGAGTTTTATGTAATACAAATGGTAGCTATTTAGTAGCCTTATTTGATATGACCACCAAAATATTGAATGTTTGACATTTATCATTTTCACTTAAATGTTATTTGATTCACTTTAAAGAGCAACTAGTTTGTTATTAAATGTATTTGTTGTCACTCCATGGTGCTTTATTATTTTTGAAATGATATTGTATTATTATTTTTTTTATAGTGCAATATTTCACTCGTTTAATATTACTGCTGCACTAAAAAAAAATGTATTCAATGGAAAGTTCAACAGTTTATGTTTTTGACTATCATTTTTCTATTTGAATGTTAAATATTTATTACTTTACATATATATATATATATATATCTCAATTAAAAATCTGGAATTGAGTTTTAACTACTCAGATAACTTACTTGATGAATTATTGTTTACTTTAATAATTCTGATAAATTGGTGTTATACTCAATTTCAAGTTGTGCATATATTTATTTTATTTATAAACATTAGATTAGTTTTTTTTCTTTTATTAAAACACTAGCCAAATTGTTATCTGTTTTTTAATGGGTCTTCTACACCCTTATCAGGTTACCATGATATTGATTATCTTTATTATATTTTGTACTTGTTTTTATATTTTTCCACGTCCTTAAGTAAGGAAAAACTGTTCTAATGTTTATTATGCCCAACTTAATTGTGTATGTATACTACTTATAAAGTGTATATATATATTATTTAATAAGAAAATAATTATATATATATCGTATAGAGTGAATTGGATGATTAATTTAATATTTTAGTTTCCAATAATACCAAATATCAGACATCATAATTTTTGTCTGGGAATGAGTCAAATACATTAATTCACCTAACTTTGAATCTTTCTAAATATGTATTTGTATATTTTATTCTATATTTATTATTGTTTTGGCATATGTTTTAATGTAACCTTTTTTATGCTTTGTTATTATGTTTTTTTACCCTCATTTACAATTTTTATTTTAGCAAACTACTTAAAACTAGTTAAATTATTTTCATTTATAATTGTTTTATCTAATGAATAAGAATTATCACATTTTTTATGCTTTAATATTTTTCTTGTTGACCTATTCTGTTGTAATGACTATATTTTCAATCCTTTTTAATTTTTGTTTATGTATAAATTTGTTTATAACTTAATAACGAGACTGTTTATGTGTTTTGTTATATTTATTAACTTTTTATGTATACATAAATTAAAGAACTAAGTGTATAAACCTAATAATTGTCATTAATTAGCAATTATTACAAGTATTTATCATTAACAATAAGAAACGACCGTTTTTAAGGTTTTTTTTTTATTTATACATAATATATGTTATAAATTTTAGAAAATTGTTTAGCAGAAATTAATATCTTTGGCCTGTAATATAACTTGAATGAAAATTGTGAATCGATCATGAAATATATTATTAAATGTGAATTTATTATTATTATTTTTTACACTTTCAAAAAATAACATTAATTTTGTTTAAAGCTAGTAATATTGTAATACATATTATTTCTTTTGTGTATTAAAATTTGATTTAATGTTTTTTCTACATTTATTGTTTCTGTTTGAAAATAATAAATCACCAATTTAAATAAAAAATTAACAAGTGTGTTCATTATACCATTATTTAAACTAAAAAGTGGTGTTTCTGAAAGTGATACAACTTTTTAAGAATTTTATTAATCATCATTCATTAGGCTATACATCTCTAGCAGATATCTTTGTTCAATATCTAGGTCCGTCTTAAAGCATACTTTTTAACACATTTAAATTGGACCATTCATACTTATAATCCAAAACAAATCAAGTTTCTGGTAAATGTTTAAGGTTTCAACTTCAACAGCAAGAACATTGGCCTGCGTTTATACATGTTCAAATTATTTGTTATTATGGTTTGCTTAACTCCGTACTCAATATTATGTACTGAATAAAACTAGTTCTATAAATATACTTTTATGTATGAAAAGTCAACAATGACTAATATTTAAAAATCAAATATTTGCTTGCGATTTGTAGTTACATGCTCTTGTATTTTCTTCTAAAAGATTCAAGTTTTACACTCAAGTACTTAACTTATACTGTTCTAGTATGGTAAAATACTATATTATATTTACTTAAATGACCACATCAATTCTTTAACCTTTAAGTATAATTGATTAAAACTCAACCTCAAGATTATACATTTATCTATATATATATATTTTATTTTAAACAATACTCATTAAAAGCATTTTAAATAGCAATCAGTTACTGTGATATTGGTCCAAGTTAGTGACTTTCATACTTAACCTTAATGTCTTCTTAACATTATAACATGGAATTTTATCAATATATAGGTTTTAATATGCTCTATCATTCTGTTTCTTATAAAAATCTTATATTAAAAATTAAGTGTTGATGTCAACTTTGAAAAGAAATTATGACAAGTTGGACAATCATATATTACTACACAATTAAAATTAAAAAATATAGGTCACATGTCTTTAAAAAATATGAATATCACTTTTTACCAGTGCTCTAATTGATTCTTTTTTACTAAAAATAGGAAATCATAATAAAACAAACATAACAATTAAATAATTAAACAAAATAAAATAAACTTCAAATTCAAAGTAAATAAAACATAATTTATCATAAATTGACTGTTTCCGTTGCTCATTCACAATTTTATCTGTTATAACATGATAAGTATAGATATTACTCGATTCTGACTTAATTAACATTAAAGATCAACTTCATATAAAGAGGTGGTTAATTTAACCATAAGTTTGAAAAAGTACAATAATTGTCTTCACATTAACTTTTTAGTTTCTATGCACATCAACCATCAAAGCTAGGTTAAACATGATAGGTTCAATATGTAATCTTATTTATTATATTTAGCTGAACACATTAAATAGTTGACAATAATACTTTATAATTTGAATAGTTAAATTTTACACCTTTAAAAAGTGAAAATGAATAAAATTTTAAGTAGCAGTATATTTTAAAGATTTAAGCCAAAATTAGTACTTATTTTAATGGTTAAATTTAATACAATTTTATTGTGATATAAAATTGAACACAATATATTTATTATTACTAAATATATTTTACATAAAATGTAAACTAAATATGGTAGACTTGCAACATTCAAACAAAATACAGGTATATTTGGACACATTATAACATATGATTGTAAATTATCTATAATTTGATAATTACAAGTACCCTTTCTCGATAAATTAATTTCCAGTCTTGTAAACTATGTTATATATCTATAAACAGACGCACATTCAAGAGGAATCCAATCAAATGTCGTTATACAAAAAATTCTAGCTTAGTTTTAATTTTTCTTTTAAAGTACTCTATTCTTGAAAGGTTTTGTAATATAGCTATTACATTAAAATTTATTTTGACCATAATAAATTTGATAAAAAATATCCAAATCGTAAAAATTAAATTTAGGAACATAGTATATATAATACTGAGGTACATTTAATTGTATCACAATAATAATAATTACCTATTTATATTAAATATATACATAATTTTTTTTTTTAAATAGTTATACTAGTAAATTATTTGATTTGATTTCTAATAACTATTAACAAAAAATTATCAATACATTTTTGTATTAAATTAATCTATTCCACAAGATTATAAATTAAAAACAACAGACAGTTCAAATTGTTTTTCACTTATAATTTAAAAATGAAACACTGTTGTACAAATAAATTAATGTACAATGTAGGCAATAATCATGTAGTGTTCACATTTTGATACTTAATAATTATAAGTTAAATATATAATAAGTCAATCAATAATAGTTTTAATTATTGATATTTAATGAAACAATGAAATAATTTAATAATGTTTTAGTTATCAGAAAAAAATGAATAACCTTAAGTAAAAATAGGTTTAAAAAAATAAAAAAATAATTTACAATATATTATTTACAAACGGAAAAAAAGTTTGACAAATAATTGTAACATAAAAAAAAAGTTTTCATTACGTAATTATTCTCATTTAGGATTTTTATATTTTATTATTTATGAAAAAGCACACAAAATTAATTAAACGTGAATAATATAAGAAAAAATTTAAATCAAACTTAATTCTAATACAACCTAATGAACAGACATATCCAGAAAATTAGATTAAATTATTATATTAAAACCCTTGTAATTTTTTAGACATAATTTTATAAAAACAAGTCTTCAAAAATATAATACTAAAGATGTAATAACACAAGAAGAAAATCTCCAATTTTTGGAATATACATATTTTTGTATATATACAAAAAAAAAAAAAAAACCAAAAAACAAAAATTGACTATTAAATATAATTATTGTTTGTTAAGCAATTAGTACTCAACACAAACATGGAAATAGTAATTCTATGACCATGCAATTTTAGATCTATTATAGTAGATTAATATTCACAAAGCCAGAAATGTAGAAATACATCGACTTTATACAAATTTATTCAACAACTAAATACAAATATTCAACACACTGAGGAAACTCAAAAGTTACAGATGTCAAGAATACCGTTTTGATTAAAGTTTAAATTGAAGTTACTTTTATAGTCAATAACCTCAAAGTACTTCATAGTAGGTAACTAAAATGATATACAAAAAAATTATAAATATTTATTTACATCATAATAGACCTTAATATTTGACCTGTTCAATTAGGCTTATAATTTTGTTATAAATTATAACAAACTATTGTATAATATAACAAAAAATTTTAAGTTATATTTTTATGGTAGTAAGTATTTAATATTATACAGAAATGCGGTGAAAATTGAATAATAACACAGTCTTAATGTGTCCGCCA